TTTATTCCCAAAGATACTAATAATGTCCGGGACTCTTAACATGCAAATGATAGTTTAAGTCTGTGAATACCTAAATCTCTTAAACTAAAGCTCTGATACCACTTCTGTAACACCCCCAAACACCACATTTGGATAGAACATATATTTCATTACATAGAAACATGAATTACATCAAAAGGTCTCACTAGTACAAGGATTACTATATGTACAAAATTTATATATAAAATTTCCAAAACAAATCTTGTACTACTACATGTAATATAACATTTATCTTCAAAAGCAGACAACAGGTTAGGAAAATAATCACATTTTCCCTTTCCCTTTTACATCCCCGAACCCAGCTATTCCTGCATTGCATAGTTTAAAACAGAAAATGAGGGTTAGACTATACGGGTCTAGTGAGTAAATCCCTTCTTTGCAAATGCAGTGTGATAAACACCAAAATATGATAATTAAATTTTTGCTCAAAAATAAACTTCAGTATAATAAATGGTGCAGCTCACAACATCAAGCCAAATAGAGTACATCCAAAAACCTTAATAAAATATCTCTGAATAGAGATCCAACATTCCCAGTATCAAACCTTTTGAATTAAAATATCATTCCTTTAACAGGAAAGATTTAAGGCAAAATTTGCCTGATATGACAAACCATTTTCCCCTTCTCAATAATATCTAAATTATTACTTTTAAATAAGAATAATATCTTTAATTCATCAGGTCACAAAGAAATGATGACTCAAAGTTATTAAATCTAATTTAGTAATAATAATAAGAGTTATAATAATATCCACATATGACAATGTCACCCTTATTCCAAGTACACCTCTCCTTCATATGTCACCCTTATTCCTTCATCAAAACAGGCTACTTATCAGAACAGACATAAGTCACCACGTCTGAAAGTACTCATTCCCAGTTTCAAGCCAGAACAGACAAAAGTCACCACGTCTGGGGGAACTACCATTTAAAACAAGTTTAATACCAAAACAGACTTACGCACCACGCTTGGTAGAAACCATTTATAAAACTCACTTCCATACCAAAACAGACTTACATCACCACGTTTGGTAGAAACATATCTTTTTATTTGAAAAGACATATAAAATAACCATTTTATGATCCATAATTAAATAAACATTAAAATTATATAAATAAATAAATAAAACTTATAAAATTTTCAAACATGAAATTATCCGAACAAGTTATCCGGATATAAAATCCGGACAACTTACTTTGTCCGATTTATACTTAAAATAAACTCTAACATATTTGTCCGGATAACAAATTCGGTCAATACCCCGCATAAAGCTTGAACGATTAAACACTTAGACATAAAATCATCTTTGTCCAGATAACAAGTCCGGACAACACTCCGTCCACCCTTTGTCCGATTTAAAAAAAATCCGGACAACACATCGTTCATCTTTGTCCGATTTAAAACAATCCGGACAATACTATCTTCCACCCTTTGTCCGATTTAAAATAAACCGAACAAACCTTGTCCGGTTTAACATCCGGATAACTCTTAGAGCAAAATGACTGATTTCTATCCAAATTCAATAAAATTCATATAAAATCAGTAATAATCTTTACGCAAGAGAGTTTTAAAAACTACTCACCTTATCAAGCTTTTGAAATCAAATACTGAAATTCACTTCTTGCAACCAGGTACTTTGTAAATCTATCAACCTCACTTCACTCTTCTTCTTCGAAAAATAACCAGAAAATGAGGTATGAGGGTGAGACTAGGGGTGCTCAAAAACCCGATGAACCCGATCAACCCAACCCGAATTTTAAAAAAAAACCCCCAACCCGAGGTAACCCGATGCATGATCAATAAAAGAATTAGCCAACCCGACCTTATTGGGTTGCAATCGGGTCAGGCCCAAAAAAACCCAACCAACCCGACAACCCGATGAACCCGACCTTAACTTTAGCTTTGAATTGTAGATGACAATCATGACATGACAAACCTCAACGTCAAGAAAGCGAAAACATCGGGGTTGAAAACGTCTAAAACTATTGTTGTATTATCATTTGGTTTAAATATTTTTATTGTAATATCTAAATATTTGATGAACTTGCATATTATCTTGAATGGTCGGTCGTATTTCAAAAGAAAATTTTCTTTATTTTTATGTGATTTTACATTGTTTAAACACAACCCGATCAACCAGAACAACCCGAACGGGTTGGGTTGGGTTGAACTTTTGTTTGGGTTAGGTTGTGTTGAAAATTTTCAAACCAACAACATTGGGTGAGACCCTCATATTTATACTCTCCAAAATAAAAAAATAAGATGACTACACATTCTCATGCATCCTACATATCCCACCTCATGCATCTTACACACACCTCATTCTCATGCATCCTACATATTCCACCTCATGCGCGCACACACACACACACACACACACATATATATATATATATATATATATATATATATTAAACACACACACACACACACATATATATATATATATATATATATTTTACATTATGCATATATCCCTATGCATAAAAATACACATACTCACATCTTAAATTTACATAAGCACATGTCCACATAAACAATTAATTCACATAATAAATACCTTGGGTGATAACCTGGACTCAGTTATCACATAACTGCGGATAAACATAATCAAATAGAGGATAAACATTACATTTTAAAATAGAAAATATAATTAAGATAATTATCGAATTCTAAAAAAATAATACCCTAAGAAGAAAACTGATAGCATATACTAATCGGGTGAAGGGAAACCAAATAAATAACCCAAATGCATTAAACCGGATGAGGATGGGGATGGGTCAAACAAAATAATTATTATTATATTTATAAGAAAATTATATTATTAAACCAAATATAAATTATAAAAAAAATTGAATTAAAAAATTACACAAAAAAATGATGCATTTTAAATAGTTAATTTGATACTAATATCGATATATTTTTGTCAAATTTTTATGATATCTTCAAACTTATATTTCATTCAAAAATAAATACATCATCGTTTTCTCAAATGCATTAAACCGGATGGGGATGGGGATGGACATGGGGATGGGTCAAGGGGTAGGTCGGACCAAAATAAATAACCCAAATGCATATATTTTTAGTTGGTCACTAACACTTCCAATTTAGTGACCACTATTTTTTTGGTTACTAATCCAACACACTAAAATTTACAACAAACGAATGCCACTCAGTGACCACTATTTTTTGGTTACTAACATATTCAATTTAGTGAAGTGACTACTCGTTAATCCTTTCAATGCAATGACCACTACTTTTTGTGACCAAACACAAAACCATAAAAGAAATTCCTTCGACCACTTACTGACCAAATTTATGTTTTGTCACTAAAATTTATCTCAGTGATCAAAAATTAATGATAACCTTTGTCATCATCACTAACGTAACAGTTAATAACCAACATATAAGTAGTCATCAAAATTTTGGTCAAGCACCTAAAAGAGACAAAATAATAGTTAAAACACCACCTAAAAGACATGAAATTGGCTGGAAACAAAACTAGAAGTTAAAACCTCAAGGTCAAGCAGGTATACCGGAATCCATTGGAACCTTTGCAGAGGACATCCGAGTCACCGGAGGAAGTCAAGGCTTGCCATAGTAAAAATGGAACAAAGGTGAATGCATCATCCCAAAAATGATCTCGTTACTTACCTGGTAAGCGTTAGTAAACGACCCCTTAATCTACAAAATCATAAAACACAACACATGGAATTGGCTACAAGCAAAACTTGAACTTGAAA